AAAAAAAACTTATGAAATTAATTAGTTTTTCTAATATATGCAGTGTTGAATGGAATATTATTAAAATACCAAAGAAAAAAAAAAATCAAAACTAATATCTGATAGTAGCATAGTTTTATATTTTTCATTTATTGGTCTAATGATGCCAAATTTGAGCATAATGTTTTTATAAATACCCATATTTTCATTACAATTTTCAAATCACAGATCATGCATTTATCACCTTAATTACCATAAACGAGAAAAAATTGTCAAATAAAAGATTGTGTATATAGCTTCAACAAAAATACTAGTTATGTATTGACACGTGTCTAATGTGCATTTATTGCAAGACACGTGTAAATACACCATTTGTGAATAACTATGGATGACTTCACAAGTCGAGCCATTCGATAACTCCACAAACCGAGCCATCCGATGACTCTAGCGAAACCGTTAGTTTGATTAAATGGTGCATTGTTATTTGCTAATATTTGAATTATTGGTTTTCATAAAAATACATTTCTTCAACACACTCAAATCAGATAAAAAAAAGTCATTTAAAAAGAAAAACAAAAAGTAAAAAGTATAAAAAGTGACCGTTGTTGTCACAATTTTCTTATGTGGTGCAAAGCATAAAATGTTTTCTTAGCACAAACGAAAACATTATTCTTTGGGAAAATCACACACCAAAGGAATGATTTACAAAATGCTCCTAAGAATAAATTATTATCATATACTTTAAACACCATTTCATTAATTATCTAAGCACTTTAATACTTCAATCTAAATATATTTTATTTTAAACTAATTAAATTAAAAACATTTGATTACCAAACAATAATATAAGAAAAATATACCTATTTAAAAAATCACAAATGATAAAAATAATTCCACAGTTACCAACAAGGATTGATACAAGTGGTAAGTAGCTTGATGTCCCTTAAACAATGTTTCGGCTTCGAGTCCTTGTGAAGGCAGAAAACATTTGTTAGGAGATTCACCCACTATTGTCCGGTGTACGACTCAGGTCGACCAACAGATTAGTCGGGACGAAACTCGGAAAGAAAAAAGAATTCCACAATTAAAACGTTTTTTTAACTAAACAACAAAGTGCGTTATCTTCAAGTACAGTCAAGCACTCGGATCAGTTTCCACATTCCCAATATAAATCCAAACACACACAGTCCACAAATCACTGGTATATATTCCCTTCATTAAACTGGCTACTTATATTACCATAATACCCCTATACTTTCTACTTTTTACGTAGTACCCAATTGACCTTTGATTTCGAAGGGCAATTTCGTCCGAGAAATTTCCACCTCCCAAGTTGCTCACACAAAGGCGGCCCCGCAAGTTTCCCAAACTACCCCGACTTAACGGACATCATAAACAATTTTGCCATGGGCAAAATAGTAGTTTCACTCTGAGAAATTGCTGTCGGGGCATATAAATAAAATAAAAATATTTATTAATTAGAAATTAATAATAAAGGAACGTGATTGATCCGCGCACACCACGAAAGGTGGGCTCAGAGGAGCGAGAAAAAAAGGCACAAAAGTTTGAGAGAGAGAGAGAGGGAGAGAGCTTGGTTTCTTCGAGGCGTCGCCGGATTTCAGCACCCCGTTCGCCGGAGTTTGGGAACCCTCTTCGCGTCCGTCACCTGGGTTTCTTGTAATTTAGGGTTTACTTTTGTGTGCGCGTCCGGGCCCGAAATCCGCCGTGAAATGTTCACGCCGCAGAGGAAGCTGTGGTCGTTGACGCCGAGGAGCGAGCCGGGCCAGAAGAACGGGCCCGTTTCTGGGCCGGGCTCGGGCTCGAACGTTGGTGCTGCAAACCCGAGTAACGGCGAGGCGTTGGATGATAGGGTTTCGAAGCTCGAGAATGAGGTCAATCGCGTGTTATGCCCAATTATTATTTTTTTTTTTTTAGTCTGTTGTTTTCAACCTACTTGTACCTTTCTTGTTTACTGTGTTTTTATTTGTTTTTGTTATGCCAGATCAGTTTTAGGTTTTAGGAAGTTTTGGTTGCTTCCACCTAAGTAGCGTAATTGGGAAGGCAATGAAACCATAGAAATTTTATGAGAGGTTTTTGAAGAATTTGCATGAAAGCCTATATAAAGCTTCGTGATTTCAGTTAAATTGGTGATGAATAATGAGTATTTTAATTTTGAGCTGCTCTTTTGGGTTGGAAGTAGATGAAGTTGATGCTGTTCTGGAATTGGTTGCAGATTCCTGTTATTTTTCCATGGCCTTTGGTGGTTTGTTTTCTTATAGGTGTTTTATGTGTTTGTTGTTGTTCTTGTCAGTGGATCTCTTTGAAATTAGCCTTCTCACTGGGTATGTAATGTAGCACAATCTCTTTGTAGTGACAGCTAGATTTATTAGCAAAAGCTGTAGTTATCTTGTTTTTGGTTATCTTTCTTCACCTTTTGAATAACTCTTATATCTTTGTTTATTTTACTTTTTCATAAGATTGTTGCTTTCTCTACTGAAACCTTTTGGCTTTGCATTCAGTAGCTTCCTTTAATCGAGGACAGCCTTAGTTCAATTGTGAGTTTTAGTGTTTGCTTATAAATTACTAAAATTTATAAGCAGCTTATATTTTCATTTCCTTCCTTTGGCTTTAACTTTACCAAATGTACATTGTGTTTTCAGCTGTTATCATATCTGCATTCTTTATGAATCATGTGATGCTCTAGTCCCTGTAAAAGTAGTTTGGTGTTTCATGTTTGCACTCAACCCAGCTCGCCAAAGTTTGTTGAGGATCTTAAAATTTTGTTGCTTAGATATTATGTCTTTTGTATTTGTTCCTTGCAGCTCTTTGAATATCAGTACAACATGGGCCTCCTGCTGATTGAGAAAAAGGAGTGGAATGCGAAGTATGAAGAACTAACGCAAGCTTTAGCTGATGCATCCGATGCTTTAAAAAGTGAGCGAGTATCTCATTCAAGTGCAATGTCTGAAGTGGAGAAACGAGAAGAGAATTTGAAGAAAGCTTTGGGTGTTGAAAGGCAGTGTGTGCTTGATGTAAGATTTGCACTTCCATAATCTTCGCGGTTCTCATCTAGAAGCATCTTGAATCTTTTAATTGATCTTATCTAGGATAAGATGCTATAATTTTTATTTTATTTTTTTCTGTTCATTTATGTAACGTTATGTGTATAAATTTGTATGCTTGCTTTGCCATTTACCATTTGTATACGCAATTTAATGTTCTATTTCTCATAATACACGGACCACAGACCAACCAGCTAGTTATGTTTTGGAAGTGAAAGTACATGAATGAGCCATTTTCGTCATCTTATTTTCATTGCTCCCTAAAGTCAAGCATTTTTTTTTTTTTGTGTGTGTGTGTGTGTGTGTTTGAATTGAAATGGATTCTACAGCAGATATTTTGAAAACTGGTTAGGCAGTTTTTTGTTTGTTTTAAAATCATAGGAAAGTTATTTCTCGTTCATGAGATGCCTATATTGGAGTTACTTTTAGTATTTTCGAACAAATTTGCTATCAACCCAAATGGTGCTATCTCACTTACTTTTAATGCTGTTTGTTGGTTGCCTCAGCTTGAGAAGGCTTTACGCGAGATGCGCTCTGAACATGCTGAAATTAAGTTCAATGCGGACTCAAAATTGGCTGAGGCTAATGCATTAGTCACAAGCGTTGAAGAGAAATCACTGGAGGTTGAGGCAAAGTTCCATGCGGTTGACGCCAAACTTTCTGAGGTCAGCAGGAAGAGTTCAGAGATAGAGAGGAAACTGCATGATTTGGAGGCTCAAGAAAATGCGCTTAGAAGGGAACGCTCTCTCTTTTCTACAGAGTATGCTCAAGGCTTTTAGCTCTCTTATTGCCTTATTTCCCTTTCTCACATGTTTAAAATTCTCTCTGCTCGACTGCGGTTATGTCATATTTTCTTAGTCTGACTTGGAAACCATATTTGTTTTTTCCAGGCGTGAAGCACATGATGCTTCTATGTCTAAGCAAAGGGAAGAGTTGAGGGAGTGGGACAGGAAGTTGAAGGAAGCAGAGGAGAGGCTAGCTGATGGTAGAAGATTGCTGAATGAAAGGGAGAAAAAGGCGAATGAGAATGATAATCTTTTGAAGGAGAAACAGATGGACCTTGAAGAACTACGGAGGAAGATTGAGATTGATGATTCTGCTTTGAAGAGCAAGGAAGAAGATATAAGCAAAAGACACGCAAGCCTAGCTCTCAAAGAGCAGGCAAGTATATCTTCTTAATGGTTAATGTGGACAGTTGGTAAATATTATTTCTTACTGATAACTATGAATGTTAATTTATTTATTTATTTTTGGCAGGAAGCTGTTGATGCTAGAAAAAGATTAGAAGAAAGAGAGAAGCAATTGCAGGAGTTGGAAGAAAAGTTGAACACAAGGGAAAAAGTGAGTAGATCTGTTCACTTTCAAGTTTGAGTGACTTGTATAAGTCAGGTCTTCGTGATCTACTATTGACCGGAAATTTGCCTGACTAGTTTCATGTCCTCTGATTGCTTTTTGACTGTGTAATTCTGTAATATGTGTAGTTGGAGATTCAGAAGCAGTTGGCCGAACATCAACGTATCCTGACCGAGAAGCAGAGAGAGTTTGAGTTGGAGATGGAGCAGAAGAGGAAGTTGAATGATGAACAGTTGAAAGACAAGGTGGCTGAGGTGGAGAAGAAGGAAGCCGAAATCTTACACATGGAAGAGAAAGTGAAGAAACGGGAACAGGCAGTTGAAAAGAAAATGGAGAAAGTGAGAGATAAGGAAACAGTTATTGACTCCAAATCGAAAGCTTTGAAGGAAAAGGAGAAGTCTCTTAAAGTTGAGGAGAAGAACTTGGAGAAAGAAAAGAAACTAGTGCTTGAAGAAAAGCAAGACTTACTCAGTCTCAAGGCTGACCTTGAGAATCTTAAGGCTGACACAGAGAGCCAGCTGCTGAAACTAAATGAAGAGAGTGACCGGCTAAAAATAACTGAAGATGAAAGAACAGAATTTACTCGTCTGCAATCGGAGCTGAAAGAGGAGATAAACAAATACAGATTCCAAAGTGAGCAACTAATGAAGGAAGCGGACAATTTGAAGCAAGAGAAGGAGAGATTTGAGAAAGAGTGGGAAGAGCTGGATAATAAAAGAGCCCAGATAAAGAAAGAGGAAGAGGATGTCCTCGAACAGAAAAATCACCTGGAGAAACTAAGGTTGTCTGAAGAAGAAAGGCTAAACAATGAGAAGCTGGAAAAACAAAAGTATGTGCAGAGGGAACTAGAAGCTCTTAAACTGGCTCAGGATTCTTTTGCTGCTACAATGGAGCATGAGAAGTCAGTATTGGCTGAAAAAGTCCAGAGTGAAAGGAGTCAACTGATTCATGATCTTGAAGTCCGGAAACAGGAACTCGAGGCCGAATTCCAGAGGAAGCAGGAGGAGTTAAAGAGTTCTTTGCACGATAAGGAACAATTGTTTGAACAGGAGAAGGGAAAGGAACTTGACAATATCAATTACTTGCAGGAAGTGGCCAGAAGAGAAACGGAGGAGATGAAATTGGAAAGGCTTCGAATGGAGAAAGAACGGAGAGATATTTCAGAAAACAAGACGCGTATCGAGTCTCAGCAACTCGGTATAAAAAAAGACATTGAGGGGCTGGTTAGCTTAAGCCAGAAGCTGAAGGATCAGAGAGAACAACTTATCAATGAAAGAGAGCGTTTCATTGCATTTGCTGAGAAACAGAAGAACTGCAACATATGTGGAGAGACTATTCGTGAGTTTATGCTCTCTGATCTTCATGCTCTAACCGAACCTAGAAACCTTGAGGCTGCCCCTCCATTGCCAAAGGTAGCAGAGGATTATTTGAAGGAGGCAGGGAGGTTTAATGCTGAGTCATCATCTCCTGCTGGGGCTAAATCAGGATCTCCTGCTCCTGGTAAAACTATGTCTTGGCTCAGGAAGTGCACCTCAAAGATTCTTATATTCTCACCGGGAAAGAGACTCGATCTTGGTTACAGTCAGGATCCTGAAGTGGGAACTTCAATGAGGCAAGATGTCACCAATTCTCCTAAAACATCACCAAGCGGTGAAAAGGGACCAGAATTATCCTCGGGAGTCGCAAATAATTCTTCTGATGTTCAAATTGTTGAATCTGAGACAGCCGTTGAGGAGTTTGGAGTTGCTCATGCTCTGTCAGTTGATCAAGATCCCCCGAGTAACCCTGAGAATTCTAATAATACTGATGTGAAGGCAAGCCGACCTAGCAAGGGAGGTAAGGTTAGAGGACGAAGAATACGAGCAGTGCGTGGTTCTAAGACAAATGGTAATGTTGAAACCTCTGTCCAAACAAATGATGATAGAACAGAATCTGATCTTGGTGGAGCACCAAAGAACACAAGAAAGCGAAATCGGCCTCATGGATCACAAGCAACTGTAAGTGACAATCAAACGGAAGGTCACTCAGACAGCGTCAAGGATGGTGAGCGCCCGAGGAGGAGACAGAGGGGTCTTGCAACAGAACATGGCCAGAGAAGATACAATCTCCGAGCAAACAAAAAGTAAGTTGCACTTGTTAGCTGTGTAGTGTTGATCTTTTCGTGTTGGAAAGAAAAACAAAGCCAAAAAGTGGTTAATGCTATATCTATGACAGGAGATAGGGTCACTTGACATGTAAATTTTGTAGAATACTGTTGGAAAGAAAAACAAAGCTGTATTCATTGCTTTACCTTCCTTTGTCATCTATGCTTATTGGATGCGTTCATATGTGGGATACGCATGAATTTACTTCATCTTTTGTTTTATTTATTATTTCCCAGATCGGCAGGAACTGCAGCCAATGGATCTATACCTACAGCAAGGCAGGGCAAGGGAAAGGAGGTGGACCAACTGCAATCTGAAAATCTTGAAGCTGTTGGAGCTTCAAGAGAAGAAATTGAAGAACATGGTTCCAAAAGAGTTGGGGCTGCTGAAGATGGTGATGATCATCCCGTGAGAAGCACTGTTGCTGCTGCTAGCGAGTTTTCTGCAGACAGTCCTGTGAGCAAGTTTTTTTCTCTTTGCTACTATTTCCCCTGGAGAGTGCCTATTTCTTCTTATCTACTTTCAAAAATCTCCTGTCTTTCAAAATTAAAAACACCCCCTCAAGTTACTCTATATTGCAATTTGCACCCTCAGTACTCAATAGGTGTTACCTCCATGTGATGTACCTTTCTTGTTTGCACTGTACTATTTTTCTTTTTTTTTAAACCTTTTTCCTGTTTTCTGTGCAGTTTAAAAATGCTGGTGGTGTTAATACACCAAACACTTATGTGGACGATGTGGGCCAAAGTGAGGAGGTTAATGGAATAGCCGAAGTTGCCAGGGAAGAAGACAGTGGGGAAGGTTACAAAACCGAGAGCCGTGAAGATGATGACGATGACAATGACAATGATGATGAGGTGGATCATCCAGGTCAAGCTTCCATTGGGAAAAAGCTCTGGACTTTCCTCACAACGTGATCAAAAATAAAAATTCGAACTTCTCGCATGTCAAATTCTGCAACTCTATTAGCGTCGGTTTTTATTTCATTTCTTTTTCGTGGTCATCAAATTTGCTTTAGTTCAGATGTGTGTATTTTAGTAGTGTGCAGAGAGATATTTGACTGTGTAATGCAGGTAGCTGCAAGTCAAGAGGCTCTAGGGGAGATATTGGTTTTTTTTTTTTTTTGGTCTTTGAATTTGTCAAGTGTAAGACAAGTCACGAGTACTGTAGTACATTCTTGGACAGGGCTCCTGTTGACACTGAAATTGGTTTGTATCAGAAGGTTCTGATTTCTGTCTATCTTAATTAAATTAGCTACGTGCTTAAGGGTGTGTTTGTGCATAAATTATCAATTCATATTCAAAATCTAATTCAACTTTACTATTTTTAATATTATTAGTATAATTAAAGAGTACCAAACAATCATTTTTATAAATCAAATTAATTTAATTAACTATTCATTCATTAACATAATTTTAACTGTCTATAACTTTACAACTAAGAAACGAAATAGAAACAAAGCAAGATAACGATTTATGTTATTTGATTTGTTGTGTTATTAAATTTGATAACAATTAACAACACTTAAGCTTGTTACGTTTGAAAAAGTAGTAATAATGAGTTTGATTTGTTTCCATTCGAAGGAAAAAAGTACAAATAAATTCCAAATATTATAAAAAATATTTCCATAAAAAATATACTCATTACTACTTTTTTTTAAACAAACTTTTTCAACTGTTCTTTCAAGAAATGAAAGAAGAATTTTCATTTCACAAAATTACGGAAATCAACACAACTCAGATTTTTCTGGTTTGAATTAAAACAAGACGTTTTAAAGAAACAAAACTATCAAACAGAATAAAGTGAAACTAAAGGGAACATATTGTTGCAAATTCATAATATTCAATCATAAAACATCAAAAATTCATATATCCATCACCTATATGTTGGGCATATTATGTTTTTCCACCCTTCAAGATTCTTACACAAAAGTAGGAACAAAAACTCCTCGTTTAACGTTCCAAAACCCGAAAATCGCCGTTAAAGCTGTTAAAGCCACACACCCGATACAGGTTTCTCTACACGAACCAAAAAGCTTCACCTTGGAGAAGTATACGAGAGATTATCATAATGCCCCTGGCTTGGGGAAGTTCCATCATACACCCGTGGGCTCCTCCTACCCCTATCTGACATGGGCCTGCTGTAGCTCGGGCTAAGCCCATACTCATGATCACCATACCTAGGGAAGTGATTAGAAAGAGATGGGCTGGTCCCGGGCTCGCAGCCCGGAGGCCCATCATCATCCAAGTCCCTCGACCACCTTCGCTCGCTTGTGTTGAGATTTTCGTACGTTCGATTATTATGTCGGCGTTGTGAATTGTATCCGGACAGGTTGGCAAATGAAGGGTTTCGTGCCCACAGCCACTCGTCGGCATTTTTCGGGATTGGGGCGTTTATTCCGGGGAAGTCAATGGTCTTCTTTTTCTTGGAGATTTCGGTGGGGCCCGTGTCGAGGATTTCTCCTTCTTCACCTTCTTCCTTTTCTACCTCCTCGCCAAAAATTATGATACCCGAAGGTTGATCCTCATGGTCCACGTCTGCATATTAAGATAAAAAAAAAAAATTATATAAAAATCATATAAAAAGCAACCAAATGTGAAAATAACTCGAGGTTAACCATAAATATAAAAAAAGAAGTGGTTACACTTCATTGAAAATATAAATAAGGATCTTGCAATTTTTCCTCCAATGAAATTGCAGACTAAGAGTGGTAATTAGGGAGATTTATCTCTTTTTTTTTTTTTTTTAATTTAGACATGAATGGGTAATTTGGAACTGCGAAAGACTTATTCGATTCGGGCCATTCGGCGAAATGATACTAAATGTTATCTATGGTTCATTAAATGGTCAAATAAAACTTTTGACCATCATAGATATAGAATTCTTACCTAAATAGCCAGGTGGATAACCTAATTCTCTCATTCGATGAAGCCATGGAGGTGGATCAAGTTCCTAGAAACAACATGAAACATAGATGACGATAAATGTAGAAGAAACTTAAATATATCAACTCTGGATAAACTCGAGTATACCATGATATGTTGTCACTTGAGATTAACTAATAAAAACCAGCTAAGAATGCTTAAAAAAAATAAAAAATTGCATGCATTAGCAATCAAAGAACAAATATTACACAATTTTATGTTAAAAAAAAAAAGGAAATTATCTCACCCCAAGCCCCAAGACTCGTCTTGTTTCGGCATCAAGCACGCCTGGTGTCAAACCATCATACTTTCCCCCACGAGAACTTTGGTAATATCTCGTTCGCGACGAATTACGAGAACTGGAATTTTGATTTCGTCTGGACCTGTGTTCTCTCCTTGCATTATTAACAGCAACACTATTGCGAGGTTTAGGGCAATCTTTTAGAGCATGGCTGTAAGAACTGCAGTTGAAACAACGTGAAGTATCCAACTTCTCCATACCACTGCAGGATAATGAACAATGTTATATCTATGCTTCTTGGCTCCATAACTAAACCAAGAATATGCAAGGTACTAATAAAATAAGCATATACCCCTCCAAGCTACTGGGATCATCACCAGAGGTCAAAGCTAAAGAATATCCACGATCATAAAGAGGAACTGAAGTGCTATCCTGTAGTTTGAAGTCCTTGCTTGACTGTACATTCTTTTGGTTATCCAACCAAAAGGTCTTTAAATAAATAGTCCAATACAAACAACAGAAGGTATATAAGTTTAAAATAAAACATTTTCCTTATAATCAATTGCATGATTGCAGAGTTGCTCAGGGATAGGCAATTAACTAAAAGAAGTGCTCAAGTATAAAAGAAATATGATGTCAAAGGTTCTATTTCTAGAAACAGAAGTCCTAGTGTATTTTCCTGAAGCCGTTTAAATATCAAAAAGAAAAGGAAAAAAAAAAGGAATATGCATCCATATCCAATTATATATGTCAAGCGAAGTCACCACCACTCAATACTAAATAAAAGTAGCGCAGGACACTAAAACCATACTATCGCTGAAGGCTTGTCCAAGCCAACTCGAAGAGCTGGAAAATAGGTCTCTTCTCCCGATTCCAGCCCAAGATCCTGAGTTAAGACATAAACAGACATTAGCAAAATCATTGTGGGTAATAAAATTTCACATAGAGAAAACATTTAAAAATAATATAAAACCAATATATATGTGTGTGTGTGTGTGTGTGAAGAAAAGCAAGCGTACATTTGATGATGAGCACTTTTCTGAATGCCATTTAGACCATTGCTGCAATAGCTCTTCAAGTTTTAGTTTGCTTTCTCTGAGAATGATATGAAAGCTTATGCCTCATAATGTACCAATAAATATGCAAAGAAGTAATGTGTACATAGCAATAACGCACCTCGGCAAAGAACTATAGATCACACGCACTGAAGGTTGGTGCTCATCACCAGATATTCGGGGTCTCTTCACACCACTTACAGCTAAAAGATCAAATTATGGGAAGCATATAGCAAGAAAATGACAAATTGATGAATCAGAGAAAAGATGGAAGTAAAAGATAACGAAAAACATTATCCTGAATTCAAAAAATGAAGATATACACAAAATACAAGTATGGCATGCGAGCAAACAATCAAAGCTTGAAACAAGTAGGATACAGTTAGAATTTGTCTCCTCTTTACATACAAGAGTTTCATTGTTCTTCTGATTGTTGAAACTAATTTCTTGCTGGACTGATAGAGATCCATTTTCAGCATGCACGTGGCTGACAGGTGTCATTTTTACAACTGCTTCAGCAGAACCCGATGTTTCTACATCAACTTTTTTTAGTACAGGGGTGTTACGATCCGAATTCTCCTCATCACTTGAAATTGACATGTCCACATCATCATCATTCGATAATGTTCCAGCTTCCTCCTCATGAATCTTGGCTTTTAACTCAGAGTTTGGAGGAAGACAATCAGATTCAATGGCTTCAAGATCCGATTCATTTCGATCATCAGTCCCACTTCCATGGACACAGTTACTGGAAGCAGGAAGTTTGATCAACTCATCTTTCTCCATTGTACAGAATATGAGTTCCTCGCGAGCATATAGCTGCACTACATAGAATTTACACAAAAACTGCAGCTATTGTTATTTAAAATTTCCATCCTTAGGTGCAATTGAAATGCAGAAAAGAACAACATTCTGTATTCACATATTCCCAGGGACAGAGTCAAGAGAAATTGTTGTACAAACACAAATGCAGCTTACACAATTCACACAGCTGGTAACATCACCGAAAAATTATTACAACATACAGCTCATGGAATTAAGCCATCCGAAGAAATACATAATAAGGGTCCTCAATGTATCATTTTGACAGCCACAAATGAGAATAAGAATAGCCCAACAATAACGTCATGGAGATCGAAAACCAAATACATAAACAAAATCTGGATGCAGATATATTCATCTTCACCTTCTTTTCCCAATAAAAATGCTGCGTTTGAATGTCAGCAGAAAGAACATAACATCAGAAACCCAACAAATCAATCAAAAGCGAAATCCGATAAAAATGCCCAAACCCTAGTGGTCGAAGCTTTTCAATCATGGTGCTTGATTCGTACGGACGGAATCAGATCCAGTATTTCAGAAAAAACATAACATGTGCTCAACAAATCTAAGAAATTGGAGAAATCGAAACCAAACAGATTGAAGAATAGACTTCGGGTGAAAATGAAAGCATAAAATTGGGGGGCAAGTAGGAACGGAATTAGGGTTTTCAATTTACCGGAAAATAACGGATGACTGAAAGCTGCCGACGACCAGGAGAATCTGAAAACCTACAACTACTGGCAAAAAAAAAAAAATGAAGACGACAAGCAGCCGAGCGTAGCTATCAGCTCAGCCGCAGAAGTTAGGTCCGTTCAGCCGTGTGCTTTCGGCGCGCGTGAGTCTGGGAAGAGGGTACGTCGCCACTGCCTTTTCCGGTAATATTAAAATATTATAATTCTGTACAAATCATTGGGTCAAATGGCACAAATGGTTTTTGACATACTTTTTAAACCGGCGGGGTAATCGACTCGGCACCTCTCCAGTTCAATTGCTGAAACGAATAATTAATTTTAAATTTTTTTAAATTATATATAGAATATTTTTTCATATAAATATATATAAAAATAACAAAATTAAATATTTTGTATATAAAATATGTAAATTAAAGTGTTAATAATATGTATTTCATGATAAATATTTACTATATAAATATATATTCATAGTTTTATTTTTTAACAACAAAAAATATATATAAAATATA